TTTTCCCATTTGTGTTGCTCTTCTAACGGCTGCTGCCTGCCAATTTGAAAACGCAATCAACAACTGGCTACTGACATGGATTGTGGTACACTTCCACTTGAGCTACTCACATAGATACGCACATACATAAATGTACAAGCATATATATATGTATATGTGTGTATGCTTTTAGTTTTGTCATCAATTGTAAATTGGAGTTTCGTGATTGCTGTCATAGATGTACATACATACATTATATATGGCGCAAATACGTACATACATATATATTTATATATATATATATATATATATAGAACATCCTCCATATATTCTATTCTATATACGAGGGGATTAACAAAAGTTCGGTAAGTTGATCAGAAAAATAATTGTTTTTAATTTTATTCGTCATCTTTGCGCTTTTTTATGTTCCCGCCATTGATTTTGATGCATTTTTTAAGCCTAAAAGATCCATTTCTGAAAAAAGTTTTCAAAATCTTGTTTTTTGAGCTTATCAAGTTCAGTTTTAACCGCATAAGTCATCTCCTCGTTACTATTAAAGGCCTTACCACTTGATTCTTTTTTTTATTTTTTGTAAATAACCAAAACTCACAAGACGTTATATCCGGAAAATATGGTGCTGGGGGTATTTCTTCGTTCCCGGAGATCGCAAAGTACTCGTTCTTTCAGCAGTGGGTGATGTCGCGTTGCCATGATGTAGAAAGTATCTCTGATAATCCTCTTTCATCCAGTTTTTCAGCAGATTTTTGAAAACTTTTGGTAAGCACTTTTCAGTGTATAGTTTTGCAGTTATCGTTTGACACTTTTCTAGTGGAGTAGCAGCTGCAATTTTGGATCGGGTAGAGAAAACTGTTCAATACTCTTTCTGCTGAGGTTTTTGCTTAGATTCTAATCGTCTCAACTTGACTAAAGTTGCTAGAATAACAATTTTCGTATTTTTTTAGGAAATATTTGAGCAATTAGATTCGAGCATCATTTAAAACTCGGGATACCCGTCGGGCAGGTTTTATTTTGTATATCTCAGATGATTATTTTATATTCTTTGTGTCAATCGTGGGTCTGCGCCAATTTTGGACTTCACAGTTACAGTGGCGTCATCAGTGGAAGGTTCTGGTCGACCTTATCGGAGTTCGTCCTGAGGGGAAAAATGTCCGGTCGGGATTCTTCGGATCCACTCAGAAATAATCTTTAAAGAAAGAAAGAATTGATCACATAAGCCAACTTTTTTTCAGATCATCGAAGCATGCCTTGTAGACGCTGTACGAGATCGCCTTCAGTACCTTCTGCAAATTTTCGTCTACGTCCTCATTCGAGTCGAAAAGGCAACCATGTAACTTGAGTTTTGGGAAAAAAGTAGCACGCTGAATACGGTGTTTTATTGTTGGTATTGATTGAGTTCTTGGTATTAAAATCGTTTACAACTAAGGATCGGTGCGAATGTGTTTATCGCCATGAAAAAATTCAAAAATTTTTGATCCAAAAAGATCTCAAAATGCTCAAATAATACTCTTTATTGACCAACTGTCGAGTTGGCACGACTTCACGATGAGCCGAACCGTAAATATCGGAAAAATTATACCCAAAATTTTGTGTTAAAATCGCACTTCGAAAACTTTTAGCGCCGACATCGGTTGTAATCAACTCCCGAAATAACCGATCAGTTTCACTCTTTTTAGCTGAGAATTACTTACGACACGACGCCTAGTGTCTATCAACGCGTACACTAATTATATACTTAGATCAGTTATCTATTGGAGACATGTCATTTCTCTTACAAAATGATATCTATTTCGGGTCTGGTGACGACCGAGTATGACGAGGTCGGTCAGGCCTTACTTATAAGGGGGGCTGAAATATCCAATGTTTGCATCGAAAATAAATTCCCTTTTTATTTTAGCGTTAAACACGCTAATCACTGTATTGGCTGCGTTCCAAGGGAAGCAGGCATTCTGGGTCAAGTGCTCTATTTCTTATGACGGGATGTAGCTACGGGTCAGCATTCTGTTGTTTCGCTTTTCTGGTAGGCTCGTGCTCTCACTTACGTACACGTATATCTATGCATACGATTGCACTCGCCTATAGAGTCTTAACCCTCCCTGATACGGACTGGTACATTTTGTTTTTAAGTAGATTTATTTTTGTAGTAAAACAGCATGAATGAATTCAGTGTAGTATATTTTGTTGTACTGCAATTATTTATTAAAAAATTATTAACAAATTAATATTACAAAGGGATTTACATATATTTATTAAAAAATGGATCACAAATTATACGCCTTCCTTTCATTGTTCACGTTTCTTCTGATTCAAAATAATCATTTGCTTGAAGCATAGTAAACGAGGTTGCATAGTCTTCTGGAATCACTGACCACGCTCCTTTACAAAGTACAGCAGAGAATATGAATAGGAAGCAAAACAAAATTTTGAAAAACATTCTCAAACTTTCAACTCAATAATCAGACTGTCAAATAAGAACTACTTTCAGTAATGCTGGCTTTTTTTTTATTGAGCTCCGGTTTCATTTTGTATATCAATGAAGCAAATATTTACCATTTGAGTTAACCTTATTCTGTATTAGTCGTGCCCTAAAATCGTTGACAACAGAGGAAAAAAAACATTGTAGTTTGCTTGCACAGCTGTTGCTCGAACTGGTTCATTTTATTTGAACAGTTGTTTTTTTTTAACAAATTAGTAAATATTCATTATTATACTCTTATTGAAGTTGTTGGTTTGAGCCAAAGCTTGAATTATTTTTCAAAACAAATATGTAACTAAATATTGGCAAGTTAGAATGTAACACATCATTAGAATTACAACACCCCATACTGAGCTTTATTACGAACGAAGGACGTGATTTTACTCTGCCAAAATTTAAACAATTAAAGGGTTTTCCAATAAGAGGTGTTATCTGATATGCAAAGAAAATTTTCCCACAAATAATGGTTGCTTTCGTTGCTTGTGTGGCGCCGTTTTGTTGAAAGTATTCGTTGCCCAGCAAAAAACCAATTAATTCTGGACTTAAGGGGTTACATAGGTCTTGAAACCTCAAGGAATTTATTTTTTTTGGTAATTTTTTGCATAAAATTACAAAGTGTCAGGCATATTTTCCCCATGTTTCAAGTCGAGCGAGTCGAAACTGTAGAAATTAGAGAGTTTTATAATCCCCCGTCTTTGTCATGGCTTGACCGATGGCGAAACTTGAAACGTGTTTTTCTTAAAACCAATTTATCGAAATCGGTAGTCAAAATTTCACAACGACTTTCGAAGCGTTTGAGTTCAAATTTTCTACACTTCTTTTAAGCGATTCTTTGTAGTACTTGAATGAAGGATTTATTTTACCTTTGATTTCAACTCATTTTACAAGTCGATATGTGGCCTAATTTTATGCAAAAAATTACGTTTTTTTGTAAAAAACGCTACAAAAAATTCAATTTTTAATATTTTTAATTATTCTTTTTCCTTAAGGGACAAGGAAAATTCAGCTACTTTAAGAAAAAAATTGGATTTTAGATTTCAGACGAAAATTGTAAAAGTTATCATGACTACCGCGAAAGCACACTCTTGTGGACGGTCTACTTCATGACACTGCCAACGCTTTAACTTATACTATTTTTCATTCAGATTTTCATCAAATGGTGTCCACATATGTACTTTTATATGTAAATAAAATAAATTGGATACTTTATTTAGTATCATTTAAAAAAATTAGAGAAGAGAAACTCTTTTTTGGCCTTCAAGACCTCATATCTTTACGTAGTTACCTTGGCAAAGAGTCATATAAATATTAGGCAAAGTAAAAATTCGTTCGGTTTTTATCTAAGAGATAGCGTTATTGCTCATAGTACAAGCATTACGTCTCGAATCATGTCATACTATTCCATCTTTGATCTAAATTGTGTTCCATCAGAACAACGTCAGGCCACACACGTCTTTGGTGACGCGCCGGAAGTTCCAGGAGCTTGAATGGGAGGTTCTAATGCACGCACCTTATAGTTCGGACTTGGCACCAAGTGAATACCATCTTTTCCTGTCTATGGCGAAAGCGCTAAATGGTGAAAATTTGACTCTCCGAGTTTTTTGCCAATAGGGACGCAGCCTTCTACGAGAGGGGTATAATGAAGGTGGCAACACGTTGGCAACAAGTTTACAATTACAACGGGTCATGTTTGACTTAAATCGAACTATATGTATCATAGTTTGAAAAATCAATAAAAAAACTGAACGAACTTTTTACTTGATCCAATATTTATATAAATATGAAAAAGTGCGACGAACAATGAATACGATTTGTCCAAACAGATCTTCACATATTTACCTTGGCAAAGAGCCACTTAAGTTCCATTTAGATTTTTTTTTCGACGTATCCAACGTTACCCAACTCCCGCCCAACCGGCCGAGAGATAATAGGAAAATCCAACAGACCGGTCCCTGAAAACCGGTAACAGTCTCCCCTCGGTAGGTAATGTCAACCCCTCCGAGTGTATTTCTGACACGAAATAATGACTCCTCATAAAAAAAAACCATCAGCCGTTTAAACTGTAGGTCGAAAATCGCTTCAGCGGTTACAAAGCGCACTAATTATATACAATACGGACTGCCATATTTTCGCAAATTTTTTTCTAGTTTTTCGAGCTCGGAGCCTTTTTTGAAATGTATTTTCCTTATTTAACTACATATGTATACATATTTTTTTTCAAATAATCATATTAATGTGTAGTCATTTTTAGTAAAAAAAAAATTCTCAAAAGAAAATCTTAAAAAAAACTAAAAAAATAATAAAGATTTTAATTCCATTTTCTCTTTTGTTTCCTTTCAGATACATCCAGGGTCTGCTTGAACCACAAACTTCAATGCAACAGACTTGAAATCAGTTATAACACTATATGTGTGTATAAAAGACGACAATTCGAAAATATTTTTACCAATTCAGTGCAATGAAAATAAACGAACAAATAAATGCGTATATATTGCAGATATACTTATACATAATTAGCTGAATGATGTAAATATTTTGCTTTTCAAGTGAAGCGCAGTGTTCATTGGCGCGCGTTGTTTGCCGGACTGCGTAGTGAAAAGTGCTTATAATGCGTTTGTCGAAAATTACACATCACATTGGTTTTAAAAATGGCGCACATAAGTTTGAACAGCAACAACAACAGCAACAACAACTTGAACATACAGCAAAAAGTCAAGCAGCGGCTGGTGGCAAGGTTTGGTTTGGTTTGATTTGGTTTGGTTTGGTTTGGTTACTCCAAATAAACTAAATATACATATAATATTTAATAAAAAAAAAAAATAATAAAAAAATTAAAAAAATAAATTAAATAAACTAAAATTTGAAAATACACTTAGAAAAAGGAACCAACAAAAAGATAGAATGTTTTTTTTTGGTATTGACTAAAATTTTAAATTTTTTTGAAAATAATCTCAGGAGCATTAAAAACTATCAAGAATATTAAAATTCCGAAACAAAAAATAATTTTTTTTTTTTTTTAACTTACCTTTTTTAAAAAAAAAATTTTTCTGAACTCGCTAAAATAAATCTTCTAAGCTAACTGCGACCATAAAAGCGCTAATTTACCTTTGATAGCTTTCCTAATATCATATAAGCGGACTTGATTGCTCTTCTGAAAAGCCACATATATGAAGAATTGATGGTTTGTTCGCTTGAGTGAAAGAGGACCGCAAGTAACCGCACTTAAGCAATTGGGTCACCTCATTAATCTTAGAATTGTACACTCGTCTTGGTGGACTGTATTAGTTTCTTTCAACCAAGCGTATCCATTGTTGTAAGCCTGAAGCTTGGATGCAGGTAACACTTTGGTCTGTTCATAATCTATGTAACCCAAGGTGATTTGGTGATGCGTTGGAAGCGCGCGCGTATATCAAGGTTGCCACTAACTTCAAGACCAAAGTGGGACAGCTCCTTTTACTTTTTATTGCGCTCTGCCTACATTAGTGAGCTTCCTTGATATTATAGCAATAGATTCTTTGAATTTTTCTAGATACTTGGACCTTATGTTGACACATTTGATTGAGTTAACTGCCTTTGGGTTGTCTACACAATAGATTTTCTTATCAAATCACTATACCAACAATCTCTGGCAGGTAAAATTACAATCACTATGCTTGTAGCTATCTTCACTGTTGCGGTAAGCTTAGAGGAACTTAGCTCTTGTCCACTACCTATCTAGAACCAGCGTAAACAGGCATTTATTGCTGTTACCGAAGACCTCGTCTTCTGACTACTCTTGCTTGCTCGGGAAAGAGTGTGTACTGCCTTGTACCTGACTTGACTTAACCAGTAAAAAGGTACGATCTCCCTATAACATATTTGGCGCTACTTCCAGCCGAACTCTTTCTCCAGCTTGTGTTTTGCGTCTCGATGTTTCTCTAAAGAACGGAGAGGCCTTCAGTTCATTCTAAGACGCCTCCGAAAGTCCGATAGATTAGAATTACTCTCAGAGGGTTCGATATTGTCTTCCGAGGTGCGACCGCATTTCCGAAAATGATGTTTCTATAACACTGGATATGTGGTCTGAAGAGAACTCGACACCTGACCTTTCGAAGGTTAGTATGTAATAAGCACAAACTGTTCGTCTATTGATTCCTCGATCAGAGATGTTTAAGACAGTGCATTTTCTTTAGTATAGTCCACCTTAATTCATGCGTAGGCTAGCATGGGTCCTACCCCTTTGCGTAAAACTATATCATCATTTGGTATCATATAGCTATAGCTCCCTCTGCAGGCATTCCAATTTGGGGTTTTTAAGAATTTCTCTGATATATTTGACCTCGTTGGAAGGCCCATAAAGGATGGCCAATTTAAAACGTTGGCTTTGCTCGTGAAGGGGCAGGGCTTTTCTATGAGCTCAATCCACTGAAGTCTCAAGGGCATATTCGTGGAATGTTTTTTTGAAGAATTTTTTGGTAGGATCAGCCAAATTGAAAGCTATCTGAAGCTAATATATACAGTAGTAGATACTCTTAATTACCAAGAGTAATGGAAAGCCTAATTCATTAAACGGGCGCTTATTCTCTTTAAACAATTGCTCAAAGGTTAAGTACAATATGTGTGGACAAGTCACCGAAGCCCCATGGAGACGGAAGCTGACATATGCAAAGAAGTAAATTGTTTAACTGAATCCTCTCTGAAGATTGAGGGTTGTGAGTTACTCCTTATCTTCATAACAATATCTTACGGAGTGCTGGGGCCGACTAGGTGCGTAGATGCTACCAGCTGAAGCATGGCCTGAGGCCGTATACCTATTCTGGGTCTTTCAAAGAGAATAAGGTTGAAGAGGACGAATTGGTTCTATTATGGGAGAATCCAAATCATCATTACTTCCGCTAATACATTTTGTTGTGAAGAAAACCCCATACTTTTGGAGAGTAAGCTTCTTGAAATTGCTCTAAAAAATAAAAGGATAAGGAAAAATATTTAAAAATAATATTTTTTTCTTTAAATTAAATTTTTTGCTTGTGTTCACACTTCTTCCAAAACTCGTCCTTTAATTTCGTTCCATTTCATTAATTCCTTTCTAAAAGCCATATATATTATATGTACTCTTCCTCTCCCCTCGCAGCGCTTCAGCGGCAGTTATAGCATCTACAGTAATAGCAATTGTGGAAGCGCACGTGGCAGTGGCAGTGGCAGCGGCAGCGGTGGTAGCGGTGGCGTCGCCACCAACAATCGCAATAGTATCGGCAACGGCAGCTGTGTCTCGTCATCGTCAACTTCAGCCTCAGGAGCAGCACCGACAGCAGCAGCATCGGGTAAGCGACGAAAATCAAAGCCGACAAAGTGCTTTAGTAGCACAGTGTTTCGCTGTTGCATACCTTGTCGCGGGGGCGGCTCAGCAGCCCCCGCTACAAGTCCGCCCCATTCGCCTGCAACGCCCGCGGATGATGTGAACAATGGCAGCAGCATAACCGGAAGCGCAACCCAGAAGAAACACCATACCAAATCAACGCACGATAAGAACGCACGTGACAGTGCACCCTACGCCGAACTAGACGCTGACATAGACGTTGACGTCGACGCCGACGCCGAAGCCGAGGCAGCCGCCGTCGCTGCAAACGGCAAGAAGCATTCTCTAGCGGATACAATTGCCACATCCGCAACTACGCCCATATCATTGAAAACCCTTATAAACGATACTGACGAACTCGAACCACCGGCACTGAGTGTTGCCGACATTGCAGCCGCTACACTTGCCAGCGGTATTGTAGCACGCAAAGCCGAACCGGAGACGCTAAGTGACGCAAGTGTCTCGCCCACAGCAGCCATACAACAATTACCAATTATCGGCAGCCATTTCCAGGTAGCACAAGGTTTGAACACCAGCGGCACTTGCGCGCTAAGTGTCAACACCACGAACGCACAACAAATTTCGCCAACTAAAGCGACCAGCAACGTGTCGGCAGTGACTGCTTTTGCCACTGCAACAGGGCACATAAGTAACACAACAGCAACCCTGCAGCAACAGCAGCAGCATCAAGTACCGCCACCACCACCGCCCACCGCGCAATCAGCGCCACGTGTCTCGCAATCACAAACCTCGCCACTACCGCACATCAAAGAAGAGGAAGAATCCGAGCACATCGGCAATCGCCAACAGTACTCGCCGCCCGCCGACGTCGAACAAGCACAGTGCTCTATTGGCGGCATTCTAAATACGGTTAGTGATAGTAGTGAAAGTACCAACGCGCCACAATCCACCAACACTTCGATTTCAGCGCCCACCAGCGGCGGTCATCAGGAGTTAGTAACACAGAGCGCTTCCACACCATCGCCTCGCATCAAACTCAAATTTCGCAAACAGCATAAATCGGCTTGGTCTCGTTCCGTACTCGCGCCCAGTAGCGCCGGCAGCAGTGTTGCTGGTGGTGGTGCTGGAGGCGGCAGTAGCGCAACCGGCGCCGGTAGTAGCGGTAGTGGTGGTGGTGGCGGCGGTGGTGGCTGCGGCAGTGGCGGTGCTACCTCCAACGAAACACTTGCTTCCAACGGCAGCAACACCAATACTGCGACCAGCGTCAGCAGCGGCGGTTTACATCGCATCTCCCTTTCATCGGTGCCACACGCGTCCAGTTCACAGCTTCTGCCAGCTACCAAGATGCAGGCCGAACAGGGCTCCATTGGAGATTTGCAGAAATACCACAGCAGATATTTGAAGAATCGACGACATACACTAGCGAATGTTCGGTGAGTACGCAATTTTGTACTCTTCATATAAAAGAATAGATTATCATGAAACTAGGTCTTATATAATATAATTTACATATTTAAACCTACTAGTAGTGGTAATAAGGGAGAAAGTTAAGATGTTTTTTGAGTAAATCAGAACTTTGAGTCAAATACCAGCAGCGGTTAGCCTGTTGAGAATTTATATAATGCAAAGCAATTATTTAGTAAAAGTGTAGCCTACATTTAGGATTCGAATTAAAGGAAGTTATAAATGAAAATTTTCTATAATTAGTTTTTAAAATGTGGTGAGTACGTGGTTGTGGTTTTGGATTCCGTTTTCTTATTATTATTTAAATTTTTTAATTAAATTACATGCATGTTGAGTTCATGGAGAGAACACTTCTTCAACTACTGAACGGCAACTGCTGAATGGCAGTGAATTAACCGGAGATATATGAACTTGAATCCACAATCGATGACGATGGTATAAACATTCCGTCACCCGTCCATGATGCAGCTCAAATATCGATTGCCCTCTTCAAGAATTATAAGGCGGCTGAAGCTAATCGTGTAAAGGGCAGGACTAATCAAGCCTGCAGGCGATGAACTATCAAAGGGCGTGCAATGGTTTCTTAGCAGTATATTGGCTGTGTCACAAAGTGTAGGATATTGAGCGAAATTTGCGATTGGACCCAGTCATTGTGGTCTCATATCTGGAAAATCTGTGAGGAAGTAATCGACACTAACTGCCTTGCTATGGAGCCTTGTTCTAAAATTAGTTGGCAAGTAAACCCACATACTCTGTCAGAATGGGTAAGAAACTGTCTGAAACTCGCGATTTCTTTAATCTTTTGCTTGAGAATTTAATACGACCTGTAGAGCCTTTCTTTTAAGATGGAATTCAGTATTCGCCAGAAAGAGAGGAATTTTTGAGATTCACCACAAACAGGGTCTGCTACTGTATTCCCTTGAATTAATGAAACTCACGTCCTAGCCCCAGATAGAAGTAGTTTATTACAGTCTCCCATACACTTTTGCTAAAAGTCTTAAGGAAAATATGAACCTTATTTCTATTAACGTCAATCTTTGGTCTGTGACTTACTTAACTCTTAAATTATATATTATATTTTAATGATTCTTTTTTTTACTACTGACTGCTCATAGAGGATTTTTTTAACATTTATCCCCTACGGTTAACAGCTCTTCTTTTCTTACCAGCTGCCGCTCTTCTAGCCGGCTGTCTGTTAACTGGTTTCTTAGCGACTACCGGTCGTCTAACAGCAGCATTACCATTTTTTCTGGCCGGTTTCTTGGCAGCAGCAGCAGCAGCGTTGCGTCTTTTTCGTTGAGGTTTTGCAATATTTCGCCGTGAACTACCGGAATTTCCAGTTTTCGCTTTAAAATTAATACAAAAAAATTTGAAATGTTATTGATTTGATTTCCAATTTAATGCTGATTCGTCACCAACCTGCACCAGCTTTAGCAGGTGCCTCAGATATGGAAGACTCAGCATCGCTGCCGTCACTGTAATCGTCTTTTGCAGCGATGAAAAAACCATAAATATTTAACTATTATTGATTAAAACTCTTTCACCACTCCAGCTTACCTGGTGCATCCGAACTAGCTTCATCATAATTGTCTGAACCCTCACTGGTATCTTTATAGTCGTACTCCTCATCATTACTAACAACAGCTGGCCTTGACGATGATTTGCTATTGCTAACTGCAGGTGGACTTGGTGAAATGGATGGACTAGCTGCGCTGGAAGACTCGGGTGTATTGGATGAGGTTTCGTCCGCGCTTACTGCGGGCTCATCACTTAATACCGAAGGCGTAGAGGCGTTCTTACTAGGTGCTTCACTGGATACTTCATTCACTGAGGCTTCACTGGTGTCATCATCATATGAAGCGTCGCTGCTATCCTCATCATCATAACTGGGGTCGTCAGTGCTGCTGTCATCCTTGTCGTCGTAGTTTTCATCATCATAGTCGGACGTGTAATCTTCATCGGTTTTTCCACTAGCTGCTGCGTCGACCAACGTGTTCGCCAAAGCGATAAAGACGAAGGTGGCTATAAGTAGAATTTGTATCTTCGTTGCCATATTTCTAGAACCGTTACGTTCAATGTTCGATTCTTAACTGTTATTTAATTGTCACGCCTTTCAGCTAACTGAAGAAATAGTTGAGCTCTGGGGAATTTTTCTGCATTTCGAAATGCGCAAAACGGGCAAAGCTCACAGTCTTGTTTCTTTTATTTGCACTGTCCATAAAGAGTGTTCTTTCTTCTACTCTTCAAATATGAAAGTACGTGTGCATATATATACATATAGTTTGTCAATATTGATACAATGTTTCATTCCAAGCATATATGCTCTCTTATTTTTGATAAGTGTTCTTGTTGTCTGGTTTGGTTTTCTAATTCTACTATCGAATTGTGCCGTAAATACCTGTAAGACAACAGTTTTCTTCTTTTGCGGGTAGTAATTTTGGATTTCTGCAATTTCTGCGTTGACCTTCATTTGACAGAGAACTCGAAATCCAAGGGAACACCACTGGACAAGAAACTGTATTTAGAGAAAAAAATCTTGGTGAGAAAGAAGAAAAGCTTCTGCAGCTCCGTTCTGTTGTAATTCTGCTAGCGTCAAGAGATGGGGTATTTCGCCTAAAGTCTTGTCCAAGATCTAAATAAATTCACTCACGTTTATATATGTTCTTTGGGTTGGTTGAAAAGGTTTGTCGGGCATCAGTTCAACGGTCTCTTCGCGATATTACTGAGGATCCTAATGACCACCAGCCACTAATCACACCAATTTGTGGAGTTTTCATGACTTTGTGTCCACGCTATCTCGCTTAATCCCGAAAAGTTTCCCGCTCTTAATACTACAACCTAAGGTCTGAGATTCCTGTCCCTATCTGAAACTTATGCAGAAATCGTTAGATGATACGCCCAACCACTCAGCAAGCCTGTTCCATTGAAATATGCCCAGTAAGAAAATCTATAACTTTAGATATGCCTTTATTTTTAGCTAGATAAGTTTAGGTGACCTGCTGCTGTTCCATTGTGGTCATATTGTACTGTTCACATTACATGTATTGAGATTTTTTCATCTAGAATTAGCATCTGAGATGAATAACTCTCCTTTGGTGAGCTTAAAAGTGGAGAGCGCCCAAACTCTGCCAAGATTGCGTAATGCATGCTCGTCCGCTATCTCATTACCTGGTATGTTATTGCGTTCAGATACCCATATGTATCTCTACATAACAAGAAGACCCCGCAGTCTGCACCAATTAGGGTGGGAGAAACTTCCTGAATACAGCAAATATAGTCCTATCGAGCATATTGCGGGAAAAATTAAAACCCATCGGTAATCTGGAAAACCTACATTTGACCAGATTTTTGAAAAATCGCAAGAAGAAATACCTCTTCTGTCTTATTTCGCTTTATCTGTAAATGAAATTTCTGCAAAAGTTGTGTGTCGATGTTGACGCAAGTTGACGCTGACCAGTACCAAAATCTCGGTCAAGGTCGTGAAGAAACTCACCGAGTAGTTTGATGCTAAAAGAGGTCTTAGAGGTTTCTTTAATTTAATGCTGGAGAAAGTAAGATGAGCTGCAGAGCTTATATGATTAGGTGCAATTTTCTACTAGAAGCGTTTGGCGTAGGATAAGGAAGGGAGGCGAAGATGGTATAGTCTTGAACGAGTGATATTTCCTGCCTTCAAACAATTAGTAATACCATTCGTGATTCGGTTTCCATGCCACTATTAACAGTCATAACTTTGAAGTCGTAGATTACTTTGTCTATCTTCGAAACAGCATTGACACCAACAACAATGTCAGCCTCACAGAAATCGAATACAACCAACAGGTGCTTCTGAAAAGTAAAATCATCTTCCGACGAACAAAGACCAAGTACTCGTGCTGATACATGGTGTGGAGACGTGGATGACGACAAAGTCTGATGAGTTGTTATTGGGAGTTATTAGAACAAAGGTTTTACGTAAGGCTTAAAGATTTTTAGAAGCATCACTTGTTGTCTCAAATTGACCCCCAACCGTCGAAAACCAATGGGCTTGGACACTTCGGAAATTTGGTCTTCGCTGGGTGTACATATACGCATTATGGAAAGCTGCGTCGTCATGAGACAGTGATGAGTATTGAGTTATTGTAAAAAGTATAAACTCTAAAGAATTTTCGGACCAAAAGAAGCGACTTTCTTATAAATTGAAGTATAAAGAATTTTAAGTTTCAGCACAAAAGTAATTTTAGTAGTCTGAAGAAATTTCGCTGGTTGCATTATCTGAGACCCACAATAATGAACTGATTACTGTTTTTTTATTTATTTCATTGCCCATCACTTTTGTTTAGATCCTTAAGAAAAAGATTAATGTTTTCTCATATAACATCATCTCCAATCTTTAGTCTGTGACTCTAATACTCGCATAGCTGTTACTTAATATATTTTCTTTTATTATTATTAACATCCATTAACTTTTTGTTCTTTCAAAGAAGATCTTTTCAATATTTATCCCCTGCGGTTTGCAACTCTTCTTCTATTACCAGCTGCCGCTCTTCTTCTATTACCAGCGGCCGCTCTTCTAGCAGCAGCGTTGCGTCTTCTACGTTGAACATTTGCAATTCTTAGTCTACGTCGTGGAGCAAGTGTGGTGTGTCTGCGTCGTCTTCGAACAGCCGTAGCCTTACCAGAATTACCAGTTTTCGCTTTGAAATTCATAAAAATTTCGAAATATTATAGATTTGATTTGATAAATATTTAACTATTATTGATTTAATCGTTCACCACTCCAGTTTACCTGGTGTAACCGAACTGTTGTCACTTGTTTCATCGTAGTCATTTGTACTAGGTGCATCGCTGGTGTCATCATCATATGAAGCGTCACTGGTATCCTCATCATCATAACTGGGGTCGTCAGTGCTGCTGTCATCCTTGTCGTCGTAGTTTTCAGTATCATAGTCGGACGAATAATCGTCATCGGCTTTTCCACTAGCTGCTGCGT